TGGTGAATCTAACGATTATGTGCCTTGGGGTTGCTCTTCTTGAGGAATATCTTTGTGGTGTTCTCTGTATTACCTGGGGTTGAATGTTGACCTGCTTTGCTAGTTTAGGAAAATTTTCCTGAATAATTTCCTGAAGGGTATTTTTCATCTTAGATTCATTCTCTCCGTCGCATTCAGGTACACCTATCAAACGTAAATTTGGTCTTTTCACATAGTCCCACATTTCTTGGGACTTTGCTCATTCCTTTTTATCCTTTTTTCTCTAATCTTTTCTTCACGTTTTATTTCATTAAGTTGGACTTTGACCTCTGATATCCCTTCTTCTGCTTGAACAATTCGAGTGTTTAAACCTGTGCATACTTCTCGGAGTTCCTGTATTGTATTCTTCAGTTCCATTAATTCACTCATACTCCTCTCTAAGTTGTCTATTCTCAATAGGATTTCATCAAACCTTTTTTCAAAGTTCCTAGTTTCTTTACGTTGGGCTACAACATGGTCTTTTAACACACCGAAGTTTGTTATTATCCATTCCTTGAAGAGTGATTCTGTCATCAGGATGCGCTCGTTCTCCATCAAGCCTTGTTCCATTGTTGATGTGGAACTGTGATCATCTTTAGAGGGAGAGGCTTTCTGACTTTGAGTATTCTCAGCTTTTTTACGCTGGTTTCTTCCCGTCATTGTAAATTTATCCTCCTGTCGTCTTTGAAATTACCAACTTTCAGATTAGGTCTCTTAAGTGGATGTCCAGGTTGTTAGTTCCCAGGGCCAGAGCAGCAGCGTTAAAACTGATGGTGCTTTTCTGCCCAGGATTCTCCTATCTGGCTTCCTTCTTGTGTCCGTAGTAGGTGACTCTGCCTTCCCAGGGCTCCAAACCTCGGTCAGAAGGGGAACCGGTCCCGTTTATTCTGTGCCGAGCGCTGCCGCACCGAGGTGCTGTCACAGCCGCTGTGCCGGGCTCTGGTGTCGTGCTGGGGGCTGGTGCCGGTCCTCCGAACCTGTTTACTCTGCTCCGAGAGCTGCCGCACCGAGGTGCCGGCGGAACCTCTGCGCCAGCCACGAGAGTCGTGCTGGCCACCCGTGTGTTTCCTCCACTGGGGGATCTTCTGCTCCATGAGCGACCAGAATTTGTCTGAAAGTGTGGCGTCCTCTAGTTCTCCACACCTTCCCTGAGAGCTGCAAGCCTGGGATGTTAGCGATTGGCCATCTTGGATCGTTCTTCCCTTTTTTTTTTTTTTTTTTTGAGACGGAGTTTTGCTCGTTACCCAGGCTGGAGTGCAATGGCGTGATCTCAGCTCACCGCAACCTCCGCCTCCTGGGTTCAGGCAATTCTCCTGCCTCAGCCTCCCGAGTAGCTGGGATTACAGGCACGCGCCACCATGCCCAGCTAATTTTTTGTATTTTTAGTAGAGACGGGGTTTCACCATGTTGACCAGGATGGTCTCAATCTCTTGACCTCGTGATCCACCTGCCTCGGCCTCCCAAAGTGCTGGGATTACAGGCGTGAGCCACTGCACCAGGCAAGACTGTCTTTAAAAAGAAAGGAAACCTACCTAATTTTCCCCCACCCCTTATATTAAATATGTTCCTTCGAATATTTATTGAACACCAAGTATACTACATGTTAAGGTGCTGGGGATGCAAAGTGATAAAAATTACTAACTTCTAGTTCAAGATTTAGCTACAGTCCAAGATGTACTTAATACAGACATTTAATGCTATGAGCAGAGGACAGCAGACAGATTTGGGTCTATACCAACTACTGGGTGAGGAGACAGCTGGAGATGTCCCTTGTAAAGCCTGTAAAACGTAAAGCATGGGTCCCCAACACCCTAGGCCATAGACTGGGACCGGCCCATGGCCTGTTAGGAACTGGGCCACACGGCAGTAGGTGAGTGGAGTACAAGTGGGCATTACCACCTAGCCCCATCTCCTATCAGATCAGTGGCAGCATTAAATTCTCATAGGAATGTGAACCCTATTGTGAACTGCACATTCAGTTCAGATCTAGGTTGCATGTTCCTGAAAATCTAATGCCCGATGATCTAAGATAGAACAGTTTGATCCCTGAAACTATCCCCCACCCAACCCCTGTCCATGGAAAAATGGTCTTCCACAAAACCAGTCCCCGGTGCCATAAATGTTGGGGACAACTGATGTAAAGGCAGTACAGGAGATAATGTCTGAGTTTTGAAATGAGAAATAAGATTTCACTATGTTTTATTCCAGATATTTATTTCCCCAGCAAAGGCAAAGAATTCTAAAAGTTCACAGAGGAAATGGCAATTACTGCCATCTGGTAAAGTGGAAAATTGGTCATATCAAAAATTGTGTTACACAAAGCTGTAAGGGAAGGGCCTATAATAAAGGCTTTTCAGTGCTATGCTAAGCATTTGACCTTTACTCTTTTAGGAAGGAGGAGCCAAGGGATACTTCTACACAGAAGAGTAATAATCCTGTATGTTTTAGAAAGGTTAATCTGTTGGTAACACAAGGAATGGACTAGAATAAAGCGGGAGAGGGCACAGGACTGCAGGCAGGCTAAAACACTTTAGGGTATTTTGAGTCCAGGTGAGATGAGCATCTACTATGACTGTGATGTGACAAGAACAACAGATGAATTGTAAGTACTTCTGGGGTTGACTCAATCTCATAACAAATTGGACACAAGAGGCTGGGTATGGTGGCTTACACCTGTAATCTTGGCACTTGGGGAGGCTGAGGCCGGCAGATAACTTGAGATCAGGAGTTTAAAACCAGCTTGGCCAATATGGCAAAATCCCATTTCTACTAAAAATGTAAAAATTAGCTGGGTGTGGTGGTACACACCTGTAATCCCAACTACTCATGAGGCTGATGCACAATAATCACTTGAACCCAGGAGGCAGACATTGCAGTGAGCCAAGATTGTGCCGCTGTACTCCAACCTGGGCAACAGAGAGAGAATCTGTCTCGAAAAAGAAAACAAAGGACACAGGAAAAGGGAAAAATAAAATTACTGTAAGATGATTATATAGGAAGACAGTGATGACAATAACCAAACTGGGAGGAAAGAAACAGCTAATGCTTGAGGGCAAGGCAAAAAAAAAAGAATTTAGACTTGACCATATGGATCACTAGAACTAAAGTGAAAAATCAGACTGAAGGTGGATCATGAAGGTAGGTAGCTCCAGGACAGACCATAGAGGCTTTAAAAAAAAGACCATGGAGACTGCCTTAAATAGTGGTAGACAGGCAAAAGAGTCCTTCCAAAGAAACTAAAAACATGAAAAGAACAGGTCATAAAGAGTTTTCGGAGTAAAATGGTAAGTGCTGTAAGGGTCAAATAGAAATACTAAGAAGTACAGCCACTGGATTTGGCAGTCAAAAGGTAACCTTTAAGAAAACCATTTCAGCATACACATGAGGATTTAAATGAAACTCTGGTGAAATGAGGAACAAATGAAAGATGAGGAAGTGAAGGCAGACAGAAATTTCCAAGAACTTAGGAAGAAAGATGGAAAAAGAGCATTAACAAAAGCCAGACACAAGATAAAGGTATTTTTAAAGACGACAGATTTGAGATGTTTCATGTAAAAATCTAGCTTAGTTGAAAAATAAAATTTCAAGAAAAAACTTTGGTTTGGCAGGGCAGGGGGATCAAACCATGTGTCCAAATAAGTTTCTCAACACTATAATGCAAAGAATTTGTGACTATATTATTTGTGTGTGTGTGTGTGTGTGTGTGTGTTTGAGACCAAGTCTCACCCTGTCACCCAGGCTAGAGTGCAATGGCAAGATCTCAGCTCACTACAACCTCTACCACCTGGGTTCAAGCGATTCTCCTGCCTCAGCCTCCCAAGTATCTGGGATTATAGGCATGCACCACCATGCCCAGTTAATTTTTATATTTTTAGCAGAGACAGGGTTTCAGCATGTTGGCCAGGCTGTGTGACTGTAACATTAACTAACTTGCCTTGAGTCTGCACACTTACTAATCTTAAGTAGCACAATAGCAGTGAACTTTATAGGGAAGTGTTTTATAGGAAAGATTTTATAGGAAAGAACTTTATAGGAAAGATTTAACATTCTAGCAACACAGACGCATAAATTCTAAATTTCAAAATGTACAGAACGATCCAGAGTTCTCATATGTTCACAGTGCAGTTCTTGGTAGGCAGATAATAGTAATTAAACATACAAGTTAAAATTTTTAATTTCTAGTTAACATAAATTCTATTTGCCCAGCCCATATTTTGTTTTCAGCTCATTCATACTCCCTGCTTGGGTATGAAGTCCAAGAAGAGCTATAAGGGAAGATAACCTGAAATGCAGGATGTTTTTCCCCTTCTTTCCCTGCTCTCTCAGCTGAGATTTGACTGCTATACAATGCCTATAGAGCTACAAGAGAAAAACGTGTTTTTTAGGCTCTGTGTGCTTGATGTTCTAAAAAGCAATCATTTCCATCTGTAGTATGTACTGGGTTACAGAAAGAACTGAAAAGAAAAGCTAGGACAGAAGATAAAAGGACTTAGAAGCTCTCCTGAGTTGTCCTCTTAATTATCATCCTTGAAGTGTACAGTCAGTGCCAAACATCAAACATAACTCAATGCAGTCTAAAACCAGTAAAATTTTGTTTATATATAAATGTAGTTACATCAAGCAGGAGAAACAGTAAGATCTATTCTACTACACTGAAGACTAAAACACATGTTTTAGCAGCCTAAAAGTATTTCTTCCCTTCCTAGTAAAGAAATCATTATGTCTAGTGGGACAGGAAAGTTATTTATCATACAGTTCCAAGTACCCATACCTAGTTTAGTGACCTTGTTTAGGATAATCCTCAATATTCGTCTCTGTCAGCATAAGTAAATTTTTGATAACTAGCTTTAAGAATAAAAAATAATTTTCAAATTGGAATCACTTCAAGATTTTAAGGTTTCTATTGAAGACAGAAAAGAACTTAAAGTTGACAAGATGAAAATGTCAATTTTAAGAAAATAATTACAAAAGTAAAAAGTTTATGGTTATCAATTTTAGTATTTATTGAAAGATGGAAGACAAGGAAAATATCTCTCAAACTCAAAAAACAAATTTTGCACCTATACTAAATGTAAAATGAATTTTAAGATACTTGCTTTACATTACAATGAACCTGTCCAAAAAAAACTGAAAATTTACCCAAATGGTGCTAATTTATTATTTACAAAAATGCTCTTACCTGCCATAAGTATTTGGGAAAAAACTGTTTTACACTCAGAAACACTAATAAAATACCTTAATGACAACTCAGAAAATAAAATTTTCCCTACCCTCAATGACCTCCCCTCCAGAAAAGTTACAGAATGGATTAAAAATGAATAATTATTTCCCACAAACTTACACACAGGAACAGGCACATGCACACACACATATACAGTGTTGTGCAAGATCAACTTAATCTTTATTTAAAGTCAACAGCCTTGGTAACAAGGAAGATAACGAATATGGCTTCAATAAAGTTTGCAAGTAAATACTACAAATATTAATTCTTTTGCTAGCTAACCAGCTAACCTGAGTATAGAATATGTATTACTTAGATAGCTAAAAGGGTATAAACAAAACGGGGGGCTGGGGAGGGGGAAGCACTATAGCAGATTCCACTGAGGTACCTTAGTTTTTATGTAAAGGTCTGTATATCCATTTAATAATTTATATAACAATTCTTTATTCTATATAGTATATGACCATATAGAAACTATGTCTTAATTACTTTATCGTTCTGGTCCAAGAAACTGGAAATAAAAACAAAAAACTTGTATTCAGATAAAGAACTGGAATATACTAACTAGAAAATCATTACTACAATGTGATATTAAAATAGAAAAGGTAGTCAATAAGTTCTCAGAGGATTTGAAAATTATAACCCGTGAGACAAGGAACGTAAGCATTATTGAAGGCAATAACAAGGCTGTACCTGGAAATCTTGAGCCCACTGATCTATACTTTACCTTCAGAGATATATGCATTTTTAAAACAATTAAATTTTCAAATTATACATAAGTCTGAGTACAGGTTATATAGGAAAATATACTTAAAAGCAACCACTATGGTTGTTTTTAGATATGCCTTCCTTTAAGTTAAAAAGTTTAAGGCTGATATTTTGGAGGGATACCCAAAGACATTTTCTCACAGTATGACCTCAATGCATCATGTATATGCTACTGGAAAACTGGAAGTAAAACATCTTTTGTTAAATATATAATTCCTCAACTTTCAAAAGAAACAAACAGAAAAACATTTTAACCACATCCCTTCTTATTTCTCAATACTGGTTTGTTAAGAACTTTTGTCACTCAAAAAGGTAGGTGCAAATCTGTAAATTTAGCTTAAAACAGAACATTAAATAGGTTGGGAGCATGGAAAGACAATGACATATTAAACAAAACCTGTATCTTGATTTATACCTTCCCTATCCCATGAAACTTCCTATGTTGCAAACACTCATTTCCTAAAACCATGAAGATTTCCTGTGATATTTGCCTATCCTTTTATTAAAGTAGAAGCCAGAACTGACATCATTGCTGCAATTAACTGTTATTTGTTCTGGTGAAATAATGTTTCTTCCTAAATGGCTTATCGCTAACCAGAAATATGAGCAGTTTGGATGGGTACATTAGGCCAGAAATGGAAATAGCCACAGTAGCCCAAATGGCAGCACAAGAACTCCAACTGAAAGTCATCAACCAAAGTATGTGCCAGAATAATACCAAAAACAAACAAAATAAAATAGATTTGCACTGAGCAGAGTTTCTTACAGTAACACATACATCAAAGACCTCTGTTTTTTAATTACAATAGTGGAAGCAGTGTCAAATAGTGAGACTATCACTAAAGAGGTTTGTTTTACTCATCTTTAGTTAGGCACTGGCAATCTGTCTCCTACCTTAATTAAATTTTAGAGCTTCTTTTGAAAAGGAAGTACTCCAAGTTGTTTGCCTTTGCTAAGGTAGGAAGGGGATCCTGAGAGAGATGAGGTACCACAAAGTATTTTGTTAGTTATATCTCTGTTTATGGCAGTTGAGTCATTGTCATTGCCATTTTACAATTTTGTATTTGCCATATTTTTCTCCCACTCTGCAAGAAAAATGTAAAAGGAAATTAATTGCTCACAATTAAGCTTTCTGTAACTAAAGATTTAATACTCACCTATTAATTAGTAAAGGTACTCATTAGTAAGAAAATTCTCTAAACTTATCATTCCATAGACAACAAAGAAAATATGGTAGGCTATGTAATCTGGCCACATAACTTCATAATTAACTTTGTTATCATTAACATACCTTGTTTCTCCCAACTTTCTAAAACTGTTTCTATTACACCTAAACTGCTTTCAATAATAGTTTGATATAAAAATTTTTCAATGATTTCCAGGGAGTAGGGCTAAGAAATTTCACATATTCATCAATTTTTATGAAAATTATGCAAAATATGATATACATATATACACTCACACACACACACAGAAGCACATTTTCTTGAGTCTTGGTTGTTAAAAAGGCCTGCAGAGGCTGGGCACTATGGCACACGCCTGTAATCCCAGCACTTTGGGAAGCCAAGGTTAATGGATCACAAGGTCAAGAGATAGAGAACATCCTGGCCAACATGGTGAAACCCCGTCTCTACGTAAAATACAAATAATAGCTGGGCGTAGTGGCATGCACCTGTAGTCCAAGCTACTCAGGAGGCTGAGGCAGGAGAATCGCTTGAACCTGCGAGGCAGAGGTTGCAGTAAGCTGAGATTGCACCACTGCACTCCAGCCTGGTGACAGAGCGAGACCCCGTCTCAAAAAAAAAAAAAAGCCTGCAGTGTGTAGAGAATTTAAATATTTACTAGATTAAATTTAAATATTACTAGATTAAATTTTACTAGATTTGAATTACATTCATTTGCACTCCACTACCATGCTAAATTGATATACCAGCAGAGAATCATAATGTATCAAATGACTTAAATGAATTGTCAGTTTGTCTTTGCAGACTCAACAGAAAACATATTTATTAATATGAACCTTTATTAAGTGGCTCACATTTCAGTATAAATCACACTAAAAAGATATTTTAAAAGGTATTTACACTACAGTGCTGACACATTTAAAATGGAAAAAAAAAAAAGGATATAAATAAGCTCTATGGAAAAGCCTTAAATTGCTGAAAAAGAATTCTGGCTCATATTACAAAATATATATATATATATATTTATATATATATATGTTAATGTCAGCGCTATTCTAAAACCTAAAATTACAACGTAAATGATTTTTTTTAAAGACTCCTTTATGTTTAAACCTGCAATGTTTACAGTGCATCTGGCCCTAAGTGCTTGATACTTCACAGTTATGGACAGGCACTGAGGAATGTTACAAAGCTACATAAACTACGTTTTGTAACAGACATAGGAGCAAGTCCTTGGCTTGCTTTCAGAATTCATGAATCTTTATTACATAATTATTTTTTTAAAAGGATTTTAGATGGTATATGCAAATTTAGCACAAAATGTCATCGTCTTTTTTATCTTGATTTGAATGTGCTGAACTGTGTGGCCTTGTATCAACAAGACTTAGATTTCCAGGGCACAATTCTTCCTTTAAATCTTTGTTGCTATTTTCAAATTTAGAATCCATGTCAATCTTAAATTCTGTAAATTGAACATGATCCAATTTTGCTTTAACATTCTTGCCATCCATATTATTCACTGCTCTACTCTTTTCAGGAATAGTAACAATCACAGGTTCTTCCTTGATTCTTACAGATGCAATAGGTTCATGTTTAATCTGCTGTAATTCATATTTAGAATGAAGTTTATCTGAAAAAACAGAATCCAAGGAGGCTTTGCTCACAGCACAAATAATGTTGTCAGCATGAGGTCCAAGAACAGATGATGTGGAATCTGATGATGTGGCTGTTTCAGGAGTAGCTATATTCTGGGAAGTGTCCTCCTCTGAGTGATATAATTTGAGCCGAATGTGCCATGCTAAACTGCATACAGCTGAAACTGTCTTGAACTGATGAACAACATTCCTTGGAATAAAATAAATGTCATTATCGTATAGCTGAATCCTGGCATAGCGAATGCCTTCCCTCCTCAGTTGATTCAGTTTTGCATCATCGACCCACTGGACACACTAAAAAATAAAACAAGAAATATAAATAAGTCTCTTTATAATAAAAACTAAACCAAAGACAATAAGTATATTACAAACACCTGAGACAGTGGAGGTTCATGCAAATCCAACTGCATTCGTTGAACCACTTCTAAGAAATCTTCAGCATGAAAACAAATTACATCTTTGGTTATACGGGGTTGATCAGGCCTAAAAAAGAAAATGAGATAATAAGAATCTGCCATAAATGTTTCACTCTCTTGAGTCCTTATTAAACTCAAAGCAAAAACAGTTTATGGTCAATACCATAGTACTGTCTTTCAAACTGTAATTGGAAAACCATTTCACATATTTAAAGAAAGGGCCAACAACATGACTTTCAATCTAAACACAGATTAAAAACTGACTTCATTTTTGTATAGATATTTGTCACAAGACTTTGGAAAATTATAATGATCTGGATTAGTAAATTATACACACCAAGAAAATTAAGCGTTCTATCTGAAGAATAAGATCAATGCTTCATAAATTTAAATGCTAAAGCTGAAAATACTATATAAAAATTAGAAGTAAATATGAGGAAAAGGGAATGTTTTCTTTCCACAGAAGATATATAAAACTACACTGATGCATAAAACTCTGACATAACTTTATAAATTAAGAGGCTCCATTAGAAAAGTACTAAAACAATAAACTGTTGGTTTTTGCTGAGATTACTCATGTTTTTAAATATAATTCTAAAAAATTTTCAAATTATTCAATTAGGAATTACATTTTTACAGAGATGCTCAAAAGTGGATTTTAGATAAAATTCCCAACAACATAAAAAAGAAACTCACATGAAGGCAAATCATAACTAAATTTCTAAAAACCGGTGATAAAAGAGAAAATATGAGAATCATGCATTACATTATAATACAGGGAAAGAAGGATAAGAATGATCATAGACTTACCAAAGACAATGCAAGCCTGAAGAGAATGGACTATTTTTAAAGTATTGGAAGAAAAAGTAAATCTAGAATTCTATACCCACCAAAAAATCCTCCAAAAATGTGAAATAAAAACATGCTCAAATAAACAAAAACTGACAGAATCTGTCACCAGAAACCTAGCATAACAAAGACTGCTGAAGGAATTTCTTCAGCCTGAAGGAAAATGATCCTTAAATGAAAATGCAGATCTATGAAAAGGAATGTACAGCACACCTAATGATAAATATGAAAGAGATTTTATTCTCACTTAAAGAATCTCTTTAGAAATAATTCTTTAAAGCAAAAGTAACAACATACAGTGTAGGGCGTATAGCATATGTAAAGTAAAATACATGACAATTACCCCAAAGGCCAGAAATGGTGGGAGGCGGTATGGAAGCATACTACTGAAAGGTTCTTACACACATTACATAAACAAGTCTAATATTAGCTCAAAGTAGATTGGAGTAAATTGAAAACAAGAAATAAAAAAGGCCCACAGAGCTATAAACTACTTAGCAAATTATGGAGGTAAAAATGGAATGCTTAAAAATGACAAGAGGAAAAAAAGAATAAAGAAGGAAATTGGAAAAAGCAGGATGCTAAATTTAAAACCAAATTTACTAATATTAAATATAAATCATCTAAATACTCCAATTAAAAGACAGAGATTGTCACTGGGTTAAAAAAAAAAGACCCAACTATATGATATCTATCTACATGGAACAACAATATAGACATACAGATAAGTTCAAAGAAAAACAATGGGAAAAGATACAGCATGTAAATACAATCATAAGAAGACTGAATTGGCTATATTAACAAAGTTAATTTCAAGACAAGGAATATTACCAAGGATAAGAAGGACATTTTATGATGAAAAATGGGGTCAATTCATCAAGAAGAAATAATTCTACATGTGTATTTGCCTAAGAACACAACTTCAAAATATATGGAACCACCTTCAAAACACTATGCTAAGTGAAGGAAGCTAATTACAAAAGAAGACATATTATATGATTCCATTTATATTAGATGTTAACAGACACATATATATACAGACAGAAAGTATATTAGTGTGGGGTTGGGAGGATGGAGAATGGAGGATTGGGGAGGTGATAACTAAAGGGTGTAGGTTCTTTTTGAGGTGATGAAACTGTTCTCTATAATTTTCGTGGTAGTTGCCACAACTCTGTGAATATATTAAAAACTATTCATTTGTATACTTTAAATGGGTGAATTGTATGATATGTGATTATGACTTAAAGCTGTCACAAAAGAAAAAATAGAGCAAAAACTAGAAAAACTGACAGGAAAATTAGACAAATACAATGTAGAAGTTACGAATTAACAAGTAGACAAAAATAAGTGAGACTATAAAAGAAATGAACCACTCTCATTATCAACAGAGTTAACTTAATTGCCCTTAATTTATAGAGCACTATATCCCAAACAACAGCAAAATACACTTTTTTTTTTTTTTTTTTTTTTGAGATCGAGTCTCACTCAGTCACCTAGGCTGTAGTGCAATGGTGCAATCTCAGCTTACTGCAACCTCCACCTCCCAGGTTCAAGCGATTCTTGTGCCCCAGCCTCCCAGATAGCTGGGGTTATAAGTGAGCGCCAGCATGGCCAGCTAACTGTTGTATTTTTAGTAGAGGAGAGGCTTTACTATGTTGGCCAAGCTGGTCTTGAACTCCTGACCTCAAGTGGTCTGCCCACCTTGGCCTTCAAAAGTGCTGGGATTACTGGCGTGAGCCACTACGCCCAGCCTGTTTTTACTTTTTTTTTTTTTTTTTTTTTCTTAAATTCAACTGCTCTAATAAGGCCAGGTGCAGTGTTTCCTGCCTGTAATCCTAGCACTTTGGGATCCCAGCCTGGGCAATGTAACAAGACCCTGTCTCTACAAAAAATTTAAAAATAGGCCAACTCTAGACATACTGCCTATGAGTCCTGCTCTGCAAGGAAGAGTAATAATTTTTTTTTTTAAATGTAAAAGTAAACAAATATTCACTGTTTGTGGTGGCATGTGTCTGTAGTCCTAGCTACTCAGGAGGCTGAGGCAGGAGGCTTGGTTGAGCCTGGGCGGTCAAGGCTGCTGTAAGCCACGACAGTACCACTGTATTCTAGCCTGGGCAAAAGAGTAAGGCCTTCTGTCTTATTAAAAAAAAAAAAATTTAAATGGCTCTGATAAGCAAAATAGCATATCCTAACTCATGTTTCATACCCAAACAATATTTGATTTTGGAAAACAAAAGTCTAAGCAAGCAAAATTATTATTATTATTATTATTATTATTATTTTTGGTTGGGGGCTGGAGTTTTGCTCTTGTTGCCCAGGCTAGAGTGCAACGGCGTGATCTTGGCTCACTGGAACCTCCGCCTTCTGGGTTCAAGTAATTCTCCTGCCTCAAGGCCTTCCCTATAGCTGGGATTACAGATGCCGACCACCACCCCAAGCTAATTTTTGTATTTTTATTAGAGACAAGGTTTCACCATGTTGTCCATGCTGGTCTTGAACTCCTGATCTCAGCTGATCCACCGGCCTTGGCCCCGCAAAGTGCTGGGATTACAGGCATGAGCCATCAGGCCTGGCTGCAAAATTACAATAACTTTGGCTTTGTATTTTTATCAGTTTAATACATGGAAAGTTACTTAATGTATGAGATGACACCTCAAGTATATTAAACAGAATAACCCATTTTTTAATCTGTCAAAATATTCAAAGTGAAACTTGTAAACAAAACTGGAAAAAAAAAGAATACAGAAAAGCAAATACATAATAAAGAGAAACCACACCTTAGTAAGGGTACAGCAAAGCAGGAGGAAAACAAAAGAGTATGGAATCAGATTGAAATCAGTTTCAGCTCTATCACTTATTAACTATATGACTGTAAAAAAATTATTTGACAGCTCTGAGCCTCAGTTTCCTTATATGATAAATATGGGGCAAAAAGTAGTTGAGATAAATTTAACAACATTTGTAAAAAGGCATACAGTAAGCAGCAGGTAAGCCTTAGTTTTTCTTTTGCCTTAATTTTTTTCACATCTAGTCACTTAGCACATGAAATTAATTATTCCAGTTAACCCAAATGACTAAACCTAGATTCTAGGATTTTAAAATCTTTAGAGCAATTATACAATTAAGATATACAAATAAAGGTAAAAAAATGAAGTTTTTTTCCCACAGTAAGGAGGAATTACTAAGACTTTCCAAGAAAGACTGTAGAAGTCAAGAAATTCTTTCATTAAAACAGCAGTAGTTATATATACCACTCTCCACAGTGCACAGCCTTCAGCACTCCAACAGCAGCTGTAGTCTGTCGTTCAAAACCTTGTCCTATGTGATCTGCATGAGCTCTTGTCCTGTCTTCAAAGAGCATCTCACGGGGCTCACTTGTTCGAGGTAGGTACTGAAGATTTTTTATTTCATTGGTAGTTCTGTTTTTTTTTTTAAAAAAAAAATTACATTTCTATAGTGACAATTGCCATCATTCAATAATTATATAATTCAGACAAAAAGTATGAAATCTGCTATCAAGTCAAATTCTATCTTTAAAATGAACAAGAACAAACAAAAACACACATTCGATACCCTCATTTTTCTAATATACCTTCACAAAAGTGACAACTGTAAGGAAATATGTGGGTCAAAAAATTAAATTACAAATGGTTGTATTTACCAATGTTTCCCTATACCCAGAATCTTTACCTGGGGTTGGGTACCATGCCCTCACTCAGATCAATTGGGTAACACAAGATTTTTTATATACATATATATATATAAATCTTATATATATATCTGAAATGGGTAACTTTAAAAAATGCATTAATTCAATATTTATAGGACACATACTATGTGGTAGGTACTATCTAGGAACTGGCGCTAGTGAATACGACAGATGAGGACCCTACTTTTGTGGGAGTTTATATTCTAGTGAAAGAAGGATCAAAAAAATAGATTTAACAAGAAAACACCCAGCAATAAATGCTTCCACAAAACATGCATGGTTTATTGGAGGCAGAAAGGAAATCCTTAGCTCTGTCTTGAAGACAGCCATTTCCCACTGGCCCTCTCCTCCACCATTTTCCTTCTAGAATGAATATGTATGCAGAAGGTGCTGCCTACTTAGCCTTACTCATTGCAGAAACCTCTCCAATTTTGGTATAAGCAAGGAAACAGCTAAGAAGAGTTTCTTTGGCTGAGAATCATCATTTTATTTATCTTCCTGTATGGTTTTTGTTTCTTCCAGACACAACTCTGGATTACCCCCATAATTGTCTCCTCTCATCCTTGTCTATCTTCACAGGGATATTTTTTCCTTACTGGCTCTCTACTCTCCCACCCTTAATCTCTTTTATTTAACTGCTCTGTGTGTACGCCTGCATTACAGTCTTATTACATGTAAACATATAATTTTTTTGGCCCTTTGTGATTAATGTTCTACATGTGTTAGAATGCTAGATGATGTTGCTTCCTGTGTAAACCTAACAGGTTCTCAAACCCACAAATTTAGTTTCATAAATACTACATTCTAATGAATCCACACATATACAGCACTTGGCACAGTACCTGACACACTGTTTTTGTCAGACTATTATCATCACATATACCATGGGTTGTATACCATAAAGTGAATGGAAGTTTGTCAAGGTTGTGGTGAACCCGCTGAAATTACATCTAAAAGTGTGTGTTTATCTGTATTGTTGTGAGGAAAGACTCAGATTCTCAAAATGATCCATAAATTCTTTAAAAAAAAATTAAGAATCACTGAGGAACACAACGATTTTTACCCTTTACTACTAATTTATAAATTAAACTGTAAAATTTTATTCATCCAATAAATATTAAGTACCAGACACTGTGTTTAGGAGCTAGAGACACATTAGTAAAAAAACCAACAGAGTCCCTGACATCATGCAACCCAGAATTTACTCAATCACTTTTTCCCCTGTTTTCTTTTTAACTTAATAATCACTGTAACTAGTAAAATCACCTTTAGGTAACTAAAGAAAAAGCTATAATCTCTCCTAGCACCATCTCCATCCATTCCAATCAATGTTAACCTAATGTACATTTTCTCCACACTTTTCTCTGTGCTCACATAAATACACAATCACACATAGAAGGGTTTTGTTATTTATTTCTTTGGATAAAAACAAAATCATACTAGATACATTACTCTACATTTGGCTGTTTTAAAGTGTCATGAATATCCATCCAGAACATTTTTTAAAACTCTATTTTAATTGTTTCACCATATTCTTCTTTTTTAGAGACAGGGTCTGGTTCTGTCACACAGGCTGGAGTGTGCAGTGATGTACTCATAGCTCACTGCAGTCTCAAACTCCTGGGCTCAACCGGTCCTTGACTCAGCCTTCCGAGTAGTTAGGGATACAGGTATGTACCACCACATTAGCTAAATATTTTTATTTTTTATTTTGTAGAGGGAGAGTCTCACTCCGTTGCTCAGGCTGGTCCTGAACTCATGGGATTCGAGTTATCCTCCCACCTCAGCCTCTCAAAATGCTAGGACTACAGGCATGAGCTGCTGCACCTGGCTTATTTCACTGTACTCTTTTTTTTTTTAGACAGAATCTTGCTTCGTCAGCCAGGCTGGAGTAGAGTGGCGTCATCTCAGCTCACTGCAACCTCCGTCTTCTAGGCTCAAGCAATTCTCCTGCCTCAGCCTCCTGAGAAACTGGGATTATAGGCATGTGGCACCACACCTGGCTAATTTTTAATTTTTAGTAGAGATGGGTTTTCACCATGTTGGCCAGACTGGTCTCGAACTCCTGACCTCAGGTAATCCACCCACCTCGACCTATCAAAGTGCTGGGATTACAGGCATGAGCCACTGCACTCAGCCTCACTATACTCTTTAATAAGAATGTATAAAATCTATTCAACCATTCTTCTGTTGAGAGGCATTCAGACCACTTTTAAATGTTTTTCTTACCAAAATTTATTTACCTTTAGAGTTTTTATTTCTTGGGATGAAAACAGGAGTGCTAGATCAAAGAGTTATATGTTCAATTTTATGAGCTATTGCCAGATTACTTTAATGAAATTACAGCAGCTCGCCCTCCAGTCAAAAATATATTAAAAACTGTTTCTTCACATACCTACCAGCCTGTATTATTGCTATGTTAATAATTTTTGCCAATATAATAGATAAAAATATGTCATAGTTCTTTTAAAATAAACTTAACGACCTGAGGTCTATTTTTCTACTGGGTTGTTTACACTTGAGAATGTTCTTTGTACATTAACTTTGGTCTGTCATGAGTTACAAATGTTTTAGTCAGTCTGTCACAGTTTTGAACTTCACTGTTGATGTTGCTTCCCTCCCAAATACTGTTGCCACTGCACTGTTTGGTCTTGCTTAAGAAAGTCTCTTCCAGGCTTAAAAAAATTTATTCTAATATTTTAACTGTTTTATCTGTGATGCTTAAATCTCTAATTTACTTCAGGTATAAGGTAGAGGCTCTGTTTTTGTTTTAGTTCAGATGGGCTGCCAATTATGCCAGCATTCTTCATTAAATACATCTGCCTCTTCCCACCTATCTCATATATTAAGTTCCCAATATATTCAGATCTATTTCTGGACTCTTATTCCAATGATCTATTTAAACTTTGTAGTAATTTTCAATATCCTGTATCATAAGCTCCCTCTCACTTATCTTGTCTTTCACTGAAAACTTTACTTCCTTATGAATTTTAAAATCATTTTATCCAGGACTGGAAGTGTTAGTTCAACTGAAATGCAAAAAATTTTAAAGAACTATCATTTCTACCCAATCCAGAACACAGTAGGGTTTTCCATTTGTTCTGATCTTATTTTATATTCTCCATAAAATATTTTGTTCTTCTTAGTACAGTTCTGAATATTATTAAATTCATTCTAAAATAGTTTATATCTTATAAATGACATTTTTTCCATTCATCATTAGTTTACTGTCATTGCCTACATTTCTCATGCCTTATTTACATTTTAGATTTTATAACAAATTATATTAGCATATACAGCTATTTTCAAATTTATATTCCAATTATGCCGTAAACTTTGCCTTCTTCCTTCCTCCAATTTTCAACTAACGTACAAACCCCAACATACAAACACTCATCTCTTCAAATAAAAATTTGTATACACCATACCTTTTCCTTTTGAAAGGTGACTTTGGCATATCAGCCACAGGGATCATTTGTTCTCCTGGACGAACCCACATGATGGGACCATCATCACTATCTTTTCGACTCTGTAACTTTAAACTAGATAGCGTCCCCCATGGCAGTGTACACTGGAGACAAATAATTACGTAGATAGCAATTATTTTCAAAATGTATCTTCAAGTATATATCAATAATATTGTTCCCCTTTCATACACAGATTTATACTTAACAACTTGAAATACGTAATACTGAATATATCCCTATATATTGATATACTTTGCTTGAAAAAACTGTTTCAAACACACCAAGAAAATGAATATGCTTGGATGGTTCTATCCCTCTACCTTGCTAGAGGTATGATTCACTATATTCATCATTTGTTATTTTTCCATCTACCAAATGGATCATATGATATTAACAGATGAAATAAGCAAGTGCTCTCTTAATAATCTATAAAAATAAAATTAAATTTGAATTTAAAAACTGGATACCTCTTTAATGATCATTAAAAAGAAAATCAAAACATATTTTGTTTAGTAGTTTCTTGAAGAGGTTATTTGCTTAAACCAGAAATTAAATATTTTTAAATGAAAGAACAAGGCTGGGCTAGGTGGCTCATGCCTGTAATCCCAGCACTTTGGGAGGCCGAGTCAGGCAGATCACGAGATCAAGAGATTGAGACCATCCTGGCCAACAAGGTGAAACCCTATCTCTACTAAAAATACAAAAATTAGCAGGGTGTGGTAGCACGTGCCTATAGTCCCAGCTACTTGGGGGGCTGAGGCAGGAGAATCACTTGAATTCAGGAGGCGGAGGTTGCAGTAAGCCGAGATCGTGCCACTGCACTCCAGCCTGGCGACAGAGTGAGACTCCGTCTCAAAAACATACAAAAAGAAAAAGAGAGACAGACAGAAGGGAAAGGGAAAAGAGAGAGAAGAAGGCGGCAGGGGATGGTGGCTCACGCCTTTAATCCCAGCACTTTTGGAGGCTGACGCAGGCAGATCACCTGAGCTCAGGAGTTTGAGATCAGCTTGGAGAAGCCCACCTCTACTAAAAATACAAAAAATTAGCTAGGCGTGGTAGTGCGTATCTGTAATCCCAGCTACTCAAGAGGCTGAGGCACGAGAATCACTTGAACCTGGGAGGCAGAGGGTGCAGTAAGCTGAGATCATGCCCCTGCACTGCAGCCTGTATGACGGAGCAAGACCCCATCCCAAACAAAAAAAGAGAGGAGGAGGAAACTGATGGCCACTGTTCAAGGAATATTGAGAACAAAATTAAAACAGCACACCCTCTTTTCAAAAAGGATTGTCAAATTTCTTTAGAAACAGTGCATTTAGGTTGGGTGCAGGTGGCTCACGTCTGTAATCCCAGCACTTTGGGAGACTGAAGCAGGACTGCTTGAGTCCAGGACTTCAAAACTAGCCTGTACAACATAGCAGGACTCCATTACTTAAAAAAAAAAAAAAAAAAAGAGACAAAGGAACAAAGAAAAAGAAATAATGGATTTAAGTTCACGTGCTTTGAAAATTAAATTTGAAGCAACCATTTAAATAATACTTGATACTTTTTAAATATAATTCAATAATAAATGCAACCTAATTCCATGATGTGACTACCTGAGAGAAGTAGAAAGGGAACAAAAAGTTTAAAAAAGAAAAGGGAATGGAACAGGGTTAAAAACAAAGGGAAGAGAAAAGATATATGCACATATAGAGTAAAAACACCAAGCAAGCAGAAGTGATAAAAGAGATGTCCAATAGATTATGTGGTATTAGAAATCTTGTCACATTCTGTTGCTCACCTGGACCCTGAATTTCAGTGTAGTTTTGCACTGACCTTTGAGTTACTGGTTAAGTAATTAACCTAACTACACAGTTCAGAGATCCCTCTCTCAGTGGGATAGCCACAGCAACTCACAATAAGAAATATTTTCTGAATAAGCTGTTTTTAAAAAGAAGAAGAAAAGAAAGGAATCTTGCTGCAAATTTAAAGGGGACTATGGGTGGGCGGGCATGGTGGCTCATCCCAGCACTTTGGGAGGCCAACACAGGAGTATCACTTGAGCCTAAGAGTTCAAGTCCAGCCTGAGCAACATGGTGAAACCCTATTTCCACCCCCCAAAAAAAAAAAAAAACGAAAGTTAGCTGGGCGTGATGGCATGTGCCTGTAGTCCCAGGTACTTGATGGGAGGACCATCTGAGCCCAGGGAGGTCACAGCTCCACAGTGCACCACTACACTCCAGCCTGGGTACAGAGTGAAACTGTCTCAAAAATAAATAAATAAATAAATAAATAAATAAATAAAATAAAGGGGTCTTTGTTTACATTGCCTAAACATTTTATGGATGATGAAACTGAAGCCCAGAAAGCTTAAATGGCTGTCCAACCCAGATAGGTATAGCCAAGGCTAAAACATGCATGTGTAATTTCACAGGCTAGTTTTCCACAATGCTAAACTGCCATTCCTTTGTCTTAAACATTTTTAGTAGAATCCTTTCTGTACTTCCTAAGAGGTGATTAACACACAGAAACTAATTTTCTAAAGTGTAACAGGTGTTATTTCAATTTCATTGTCCACCATTTAGCTTTGCCATTAAAATTAGGACCTGAGATACCACATATACACACTACACAAGAATTACTTCAGTTTCCTATCTCTTGCCCCTCCTTCCCTCCAGTTCAAATAAAACCAAAATGTTTCTATTTCTGAAACATTCATTCATTTATATTGCATGTAGCATGAAAGAAACACTCCCAAATCAGATTAGTCATGCTGGTTTTTCTTGCCTTTTTTAAAAACAAAAACAAAACAACTCTAATCCCATGACAGATTATCTCTTACTTTTAAAAATGGTGACTCTTCCAACATGTCAAGGAACTCAGGGAAGTAATCTCCTACTTCTTCATCAACTGCTCCCACCAAGCTTATTTGTCGCATTGGGCCAGCTCTGTAAGTACCATGAGAATACGTTCTCTTTACCTGAAGAATATGGATTTAATTAAAAGTTACACATAAGATAATGTTTGCTATCATTCATTGTGTAACAGTAAATTATTATTATCCCAGAATATTGTATCATAATGGGAGGAAAGAAAAAAAAAACAAAACTTCACTAACAGTAACAGATAAGGCATTTTAAAAATAGAACTTGCACTAAATCAAGCTATTTTACCTTCTCTATTCCAACATGCTGCTTATGAAAACACAGTTAAGACAAATAAACATTAATTCTAGACAACATCTCCTTAGAAAAGAGGAACTCATTATCTGAATATTCAAAAGTTGGTGTACCTGCATTTTTCTAAAGTGAAATGAAGTTCGTATCTTTTAATCAAAATTTTCAAAACTAGACCCTCTGAAAACATTTAACCATCACCAGTGGCTTATCTGTCTAAAAGGCTACCAGGCCTCTCTTTCCAGCCAGCGCCGAGCGATGGGCATCTCTCGGGACAACTGGCACAAGCGCCGCAAGACCGGGGGCAAGAGAAAGCCCTACCACAAGAAGCGGAAGTATGAGTTGGGGCGCCCGGCTGCCAACACCAAGATTGGCCCCCGCCGCATCCACACAGTCCGTGTGCGGGGCGGTAACAAGAAATACCGTGCCCTGAGGCTGGACGTGGGAAATTTCTCCTGGGACTCAGAGTGTTGTACTAGAAAAACAAGGATCATTGATGTTGTCTATAATGCATCTAATAACGAGCTGGTCCGTACCAAGACCCTGGTGAAGAATTGCATTGTGCTCATCGACAGCATGCCATACCGACAGTGGTACGAGTCCCACTATGCGCTGCCCCTGGGCCGCAAGAAGGGAGCCAAGCTGACTCCTGAGGAAGAAGAGATTTTAAACAAAAAACGATCTAAAAAAATTCAGAAGAAATACGACGAAAGGAAAAAGAATGCCAAAATCAGCAGTCTACAGGAGGAGCAGTTCCAGCAGGGCAAGCTTCTTGCATGCATCACTTCAAGGCCGGGACAGTGTGGCCGAGCAGATGGCTATGTGCTAGAGGGCAAAGAGTTGGAGTTCTATCTTAGGAAAATCAAGGCCCGGAAAGGCAAATAAATCCTTGTTTTCTCTCTTCACCCATGTCATAAAGGTGTGTATTGTTCTGTTCACAAAAAAAAAAAAAAAAAAAAGGCCACCAGGGATGCTCTTCTTTTCGGATCTTACCAATTAACTAGGATCCAGTTTATATATCTATTAACTGTGGTGAGAAACTACTAGAAATTAAGAATCAGGAATCCTAATATCCAAATCTGCCTTTGCTATCTATCAGCTATGTGACTTTCAGAAATCATTTATATTCCTTGAGCTTTGGTTTCTTAACTGGAATGTTTTATAACAGATTACTGAAGAAAACTTGATAATGATATAAATTCACCTGCCATAATGCTAGCAAATGGGTGGCATTCAAAGAGCCAAAACAAAGCCATTTATATCTCAAGATTCATTGATAACGGTATTTTTGCCAGCATATTTAAATCCTGACAAAGAAACCTATGTATTTTCATATACTAACACTAGTAAACAAGTTGAGTCTGTCTTCAAGCAAAACAACTCCTTCTGATAGCCAAATAATTAGCAAAATTCTAATTGTCTCTTTCTCTGGATTAGCCTTTGTGGACACAAAATTTAGGAGACCAGTTTGTCTCCATTTGCCCAGGACTATCTGTCTTAAAACTGTAAGTCTCGTATTTCAGGCAAACGTGGATGGTCAACTTTCATCACATCATAGACACAGATTATAAAATATAGTCACATTAAAATTATAAAAAAGAGTCACATTAAAAATTGAATCCTTACAATTATGCTGGTAAGAGTATCACAGTGTAACAAACTAAACCCCAACCCACATCTTTTCATAACAAAATCATTTAAGACAAAGAATCTCATTTGTTATTATAATCAGCAAAGCAGTTTAATAATGACATTAATTCTTTAATAAATACAACAAATTTCCAAGCTTACATTTTCCTAAACTGTTACAAATTGACTTCTCAGAACCACAAAACATTCCTATAAGTTGGAAAATTAAGGGCCTATAATCTTAGCACTTTGAGAGGTGGGAGGCTATCTTGAGCCTGGGAAGTCAAGGCTGCAGTAAGCTATGATCATGCCACTGCACTCTAGCCTGGGCAAAAGAGCAAGATTCTGTCTCAAAAAAACAAAAAAGAACAGTTGGGACTTGTGCCACCATCTTGTACTCATTGTTTCATCTTTTTCCTGTCTCTTAAAAATTCCTATCATGTCCTATATTGAAAAAGCTAAAAGTTAAAACCTAACTACAACAGTCTTCAGGCTCTAGATGTTTAGAGGCATTAATAGCACTCCAATAAGAAATTCAGTGATCAGTATGCATTTCTGTAATGTAGTCTAACAAAGAAGCTAAAGATATCAATCTGAACTCTAGCACATTTACCAGAATATAACACATCAAATCTGTTAAGTGATTCTGAGATTCTAAGTTTTGGATCTGCAAATGGCCATAAGGAATTTTGAGAGACCATAGCTATGTAGAAAGTGAAATCAACAACTGATAATGTAAAACACAAATTTTTCCAAGTGCTTTGAAATATAACTAAAACGTCAAATTAGTGTTAGGGGTGGTAGCATGAAAGTGTAATCCCAGCTACCCAGAAGGCAGAGGCAGGAGGATCACTTAAGCCCAGGAGTTCAAGAGTAGCCTGAACAACACAGTGAGACTAAAAAAAAAAAAGTCAAATTAGAGAGGTACTATTTCCACTTTATACAAATAAGTAAATTTTCTGTGCATAAACTTCCGTATCTTGTTATAATCAAATACCTAAGACACTTAGTTCTAACAAAGCCAGAATCAAATAAGTCCGTGCCACTGAGTTGGTTCATTCTACATCGCAGTATCAACAACGATCAGCTAAAGAATTTGGGCAGTTTATCTTGGCGGGAGGGGATGACTGTGGAAAAGGAAAAGAATTTTCAGTAAGTGAATTCTTCTAAAATGTGAAGCACAACTAAACTTTCAATTAATCTAGTAGTTTTAAAAAGTCATACTATACATGAAATAATCAATTTCTCAAATATAATTGAAATAGTTGGGTTCTACCTCATCTTGCAATTCAGATAACTACTTCTATTCTACAAAGAAAGATAAAACCAAAAAGCTATAACATTATTAAACTATAAAGATTAGGAGATAAATACAATAATCATAAAAGCGGAACTAATTGGTAACAAATTTAACATTCAGTCCTCGTAGTGTAAAATGTATATATTTAAATGTGAGTAAAAACATACATCATAAACTAACAGGAAAAGAATGAGTAAAACTTGGGTGGTAATATACAGACAAATCATATGTTGTATAATAACTCAAAATTTTATTTACTAATTTTAATTTGACCAGATGATGCTATTTCAAGTTAGAATAATTATTTCATTGAGTGAAGAAGTATTACTGACCTAACCATCTCATTTCATTCAAATTACACATTTATATTAATTTCCAAGTTCACAAATATTGCTTATTTAAAAATAAAACAAAACATGTCTAAATTAGTATAGACAGAAACATTAAAATTTTTAACATAATACGCCAGGTACAGTGGCTCATGCTTGTAATCTCAACATTTTGGGAGGCCGAGGTGGGTGGATCACAAGGTCAAGAGATCAAGACCATCCTGATTAACATGGTGAGACCCCATCTCTACTAAAAATAGAAAAATTAGCTGGTGTGGTGGTGCACACCTGTAGTCCTAGCTACTTGGGAGGCTCAGGAGAATGACTTGAACCCATGAGGCGGAGCTTGCAGTGAGCCGAGATCACGCCACTGGCACTCCAACCTGGCAGCAGAGTGAAACTCTGTCACACACAAAAAAATTTTTAACATAATAGACTAAATAAATTAAAAAAACGATTTTTCCCCCATCCTTTGTCTAGTTTGGGCACTACCTAACAAAAGGCTGTATCTTTTGTTGATCATTTTTAAGTATGGTCCTATTAAAATTCATAAATATTTCAAAGGATTTTTTAGATACCCTGAATTTTTAAAGTGAAGTAATACAGATTATATTGCTAAATATCATAATTGAATTTTTAGTTAGTTCTTCGTATCTCCTGGCAAAATATATATAAAACATACAGATGATATGTAAAATTCACCTTCACAAATAACTTATTATAACAAAAGTATAAATATCTCTCTTTTAACCAAAATACACAAAAATTGTAAAGCAGAACCCACTGTCCCACTAATAAAACCAAAAATAAATTCTAGTAGGAAATTGGCCTTTATAAAAACCGCTTAGCTATCACATGTTTAAAACAAAACAGCAATTATCTTTCAAAACATTTATTCTCCAATAGTAAAGATAAAACTATGATGACCCACCTGAACAAACATATTTAAACTCAAACCAAATTTTAAAAATTAAATTGAAGTTATCAAAATCTTAATCTGTAAAAGTATTAAATTTTAAAATATATTGTAGTATAACTTTTAATTATGTATCATTTCACACAAATTTCTAGTTTAATAACCCAATATTTCAGATCCATCATTTATAACTATTAATGGCAAATTACACACAACAATGTTTCCAATTTAAAAAGTATATACCTCTTGACAAAATACATGATGGTACTTAAGCTGTTAAAATAAAATGTAAGAGGCTGGGCGTGGGGGCTCACACCTATAATCCCAGCACTTTGAGAAGCCGAGGCGGGCAGATTGTCTGAGCTCAGGAGTTTGAGACCAGTCTGAGCAACATAGTGAAACCCTGTCTCTACTAAAATACAAAATATTAGCCGGGTATGGTGGTGTGCACCTGTAGTCCCAGCTACTCAGGAGGCTGAGGCATGAGAATTGCTTGAACCCAGGAGGCAGAGGTTGCAGTGAGCTGAGATCATGCCACTGCACTCCAGCCTGGGGGAGAGAGCAAGACTCCATGAATGAATTAATGAAAGAAAGAAAAAGGAAAGGAAGGAAGGAAAGAAAAAGAAATAA